TAAGCCTGTCAATTCTCGGACTTATAGCTGAGATATATGCAGATTCAGACCAATTTTTGCACTTTCTCAGAGTACTGTATTTATTTTTATGATTTGTGTTCAAAAGAAAGAATATATATATATATATGTATCAAAAACCTAATAACTATGATAGGACTAGTAACTGGCCATATCAAAGTTAGGATTTTGGCATGAGCCAGTAACCATTAGTCAGCGGCAGCTGTCGAAAACTAACCAAAGTAGATGGACCAACGTTTTGTGGTGTGGATATCTCACACCTGAGTGAAATGAGTGTTGGCGACCACGATGAAGCCGCTCACACTGCAGCCTCAGACAGGCCTCTGAGTCGACGTTTGAAGGCATGCAATGTGCGTGTGGATGTGTTCCCATTGATGTCATTCAGTGCCCACGGCCCCTGAGGCAGAATTACATGCTCTATTCCCAGTGCGATTGAGCGCATATTTAGTTGGTAAGGCAGAAAGTGGGAGGGGGAGAGGAGGAAAAGATATCGACTGGCTCATTAGAGATATTTCATATTTAACATGTGAAATTAATATAGCAGTAAATTAAGCCCCAGCGTTCTCTCCATGATATCTGCAGTCAAGCTCATTGTGAGTCATTAAGACCACATAATGAGATTTACCATAGTTTATTAGGAAGTAAATGAATCACATTCCAATCGCATTTTGAAGAAAATGAAGAAACCATGTGCCCATCGTCTTGCTATTTCACTTCCAAGCTATACATTTACAACAGTGAACTCTTCCACCTCTATAATGTTTTTAACCCTGCATGCATTCACTATTCAAACTTCTGCTTCAAAACTGGTGTATATATTACAGTTTTTAGTGGTTTAAACGACAGCAAACCCCACTTTTGTAAAAACAGCAACCCAAACTACACAATGCAACCTAAGTGAAATGATACATGCGTGTTTTTCTTTATTTTAACCCTCGGCTCCTTGTGTTACTTGGAACCTTTTTGATCTTTTGGGCATAAAAAGCTTGTTTTATATCAGTAACTATAGACATAAGGATGAATATAACCAATTGTAAATGAGTGTTTGTTCCAATGCATTGGTGGGCAGTAGTACTTTCTGCTCTTCTTGTATCTAACTGTTTTACCTGGAATGGAAATGGTTTCTTTTTGTGTAAACCTCCTCTTTTGGAGTGCTATCTGCCCCTCTTTTACTCTCTGCCACTGGTCCCTAACAATCCCTCAGTTTTGTTTGTGCTGTTGTGTGTTGTACAGAAACATTGAAAGCTGAACAAAGACGAAAATGAGCTGAGAAGAAAATTATTGTAATGAATATATTAGTCCATTTGGATACCGCAGTGTTGATAAGGTTAAAGTGCAGTGATTCAGCTTTATTTTAGGTGTCCCTAAAACCACTGTACCTAGATGATAAACAGTGTTAGTTCACCACAACTGTAGTGTGATCCATGTTGTTACCTGGCCTTTTCAATATTTGTAAGTGCAAGCAAGTTGTCTATGTATAATGTATAGTACAGTGTAATAACTTGTACTTTACATACCCAGCTTAATACTGCTCATTTCACTACATGATCTTCAGGGACATCTAACATAAAGTGTGAACTGTAATGCTTTTGAGGGCAAGATATCTGCATACTGCTGTGAGTTTATGCTAAATACAGTATGTTACACTAATGCTGACTTGTACTGTATGTTGAAGTTGTTAACACAATGAAATAAAATAAAAACTGATACACTAGATCAGACTTTCCACTCTTTCTCTGCTCTGAAGATGAATTAAAATCAAGTTGTAACTTGAGTTGTAATCTGTCGCCTACTCACCCCTTATTTTGCTCAATTTTCCAACCACAAATTTTCCATGATAAGGTGACAGATCCAAAAAATAGGAATAGCTTGCCAAGCAGAACTGTGACTGGTTCCATAAACTGTTTAGACAAGTCTTACAAGTTAGTCATCTAGGGCTTTTTTTAGTCAGATACGTAAAAATGTAGGTTGGTCTACTCTGAATCTGAAAAGTATAAGACTGTTTACCCCTTGCTAGTTGGTAAGACAAGTTCTTATGACACAGTCTAAACACAGTGGTTGTTTAAGCAACTGGCCACTGAGGATACATTACAAGAAAACTGCACAAACAAAAAAGTATTAGCATGTTTTTTTTTTTTTTTTGGACAAGCACCATGTTAATATATGGTATTTATTATAAAGTAGCCAACATTTGAGCACCACTTAAAGCAACTACATTTTTTACCTTGAAATATCAGTTTCAGAATCATTCTGATGGTACACTGACTGTAATAAGGCAAGTGGCTTCTGTTTCTTTCCCACGCTTCCCTCCAAACTTCTGTTTGTTAGCTTCTCTTCCTGTCTTCTGCGATGCCTTCATCTGACTGGTTTTTGAAGGCAGCATAGATTTATCCTTCGCTGTCTTTGATATCCCCCAATCCTGTGTGTTCAATTCTGTGTGCTAAAAAATAAAAATGGCATCTGAAAGTTGTGGTTGGTGGTTGTGTGTAAATGTAGGTTTTGACCAACTTTTTCTAGCGAGAAATTCATATTGTAGTAATTAAAGGGGTCATATGACGTTGCTAAAAAGAACATTATTTTGTGTATTTGGTGTAATGAAATGTGTTTATGCAGTTATTTTCCACATAATGTACATTATTGTTTCTTCTCTATGCCCCACCTTTCTGAAACGCGTCGATTTTTACAAAGCTCATCGGTCTGAAAAGCGAGGTCTGCTGTGATTGGCCAGCTATCCAGTGTGTTGTGATTGGCAACTCGCGTTTGAATCATCAGTGGCAAATTCTTTAAATATAAAAACGTACTTACAGGTTGTGAGTCATGAAGCGCCAGACTGTCTTTGCAAAGTTGGAATTGCCCCACTTTATAGAAACAGACACCGGCATTGTAGGCTACTGGTTCAGGAAACAATCCTTGTCCTCCATTACAGATCTTCTTTATGCACCAAGTGCTTGTAACACTCCAAAGAGAAAGCACTCCAAAGCATCATATGACCCCTTTAAATAGTCGCTTTACCACCAAAGCTCTCTCTCTCTATTTTGTTGTAGATCATTAAACCGTTATGCTCCCTCATAAGTCTGTCCAAAATCATTTTGTGAGGTACCTTCAGTGAGGCATCAAGTCAGCAGCCTAAGTTTTCGGACACAGCCTAACTAGTTTGGTGAGCGGGTATGAAATCCCACGAAATGAGCAGACTGATTTACGGCAACAATAATGCACCTGTATCCCTCTGGAGTTGTTCGGTCATTTTAGACCGGGAAAAAAAAAGGTTTGAAATTTTAAAAATCGCTACTTCATCGGAATGGTACGAAACTCAATGACTTTTATGGTAGTCGGCAAAAAAAAAATCGTGGACTTGATTCGAAAAAGCTCTGTGGTTGAAAAAAAAATAGTCACACTTGCATTGTTCGCAGTCAATACAGGGAATTTTACAGAGAATTTTTGGTGTGTACAACCTACAAATCATTCACGATCCAGACCCCCCCCCCAGTGGGAACTAGTGGGACTGTAAGGCAAAACATGTTTTTGCAAATACGTGAAATAAAATCAATAAAACACAGACACCAAGGAAGGGGTGACACTCTAAAACATCGAGAGTACAAAATAGATACACCTACTCAAACACACTCACACACACACACACACACACACAAAACACTATTATACACACAAAAATGAACGGGTCTGGCTGTAACAATATGGCAAAATTGAATAACTTAAATAAGAAGTTGAAATCAGATTGATTAACCTCTGATAAAACATTCCTGTTCATTTTTGTTACATTTTTGTTGAATTTTGATGTTATGCGTAACAAAATGTCTTTCTCTGTGTTCAGGTTTGACTGTAGTAAAATTAATGCAGAAACTGACATTTCAAACCATCATTTAAAAAACAAACAAACAAAAAAATCTAAACCTTTACAAAAAGTTGTCTTTGATAATGTCTAAATATAAATCCAAATCCACAACTTAATAAAAATAAGTATTTATGTCTAAAAACAACTAGAAAATGTATAGCCCTTTATATAGAGCTCTAGTGGCTAAACCATGGAATTTCAGATGTTTTTCTTTTTTTTACTCCCACCAGATCGAACTAATCTGCCTTCAAAAATGGGATCTTAAAGGCATTGTCTCTATTTTAACATACTGCCATAATTGAAAAGTAATATAAAAATATAATTTTATATTTTATAATTTTATAATTTTTTTTTTATTTTCAAAGGGGAAAGAATGATCATAATTATTGCATAAATATTAATTAGTACCATGAAATTCATTCAAAATACAAAAGAAAAATATTATTGAACAAAAATATATTAAATTAATTTTTCTGAAAAAAAAAAAAAAAGTTACATTTCAGGTGTTCGGTCACTTTTGACTGCGAGCAACACAAGTGTGACCCCCAAATGAACAATAACAGAGGGTTAACTGTAGGGGGCTCCAGAGTCGCAAGAATTACACAAAACTACATAAAGTTGCTTATTATTTAGTACTAGTATATATGCAACCATGACTGTACCATGCTACCAACACAGTATTTTAGCTACCACTGTCATTAAATCAAATTATACAACATAAAAAGGATTCAGAAAGCTTCTTACTATGGATATTATACAATATTCAACATTGTATTTCTCAATATATTTCTTTTTCTTTTTTGTATTTCTTTCTTTACACATGCACTTTATTACAATTTTACAGTAATAACAATAACTGTGGTAACTATATAATTGAACTATGTAAATGTATTCATTATATTTATGTTTCATTCTATAACTTACGTTACCATGGTAATATATCGTAAGCGTTACAGTTCGTCAATGGGCTGAATCAAAGTCCCTTTAAGTAGTCTTTGGCTCAATGTAACTCGGCGGGCTTTAGGACCCGTTCGCGCGCTGCTCCAGTCCTCCATGGCTTTGTATGTTTACAGTGAGATTGTATGGCAGGAATTTTCTAACATCAAATATTTAAACATCATTTGCGTCGACACAAACGTCCCAATGGAGACAGAGATCCTGTGACACAGGTAAGACACCATGTGACTCAGTCGGCTTCTAATCATAGCTTTATCATGTACAGAATCACACTTTTTGAAGCATAATGACTGTAACGGCGGCGGCTACTATGTCTCACTAGTTTATTTTATTTTAACGACTCAAGTGTTTGCTTTAATGCAACTCTGTCGCTTCATAAACGAGCCTGTTCATTCACATCGATGAACAATGTGGGCTGTTTTTAACTGCTTAAAACTTTACCTGTTAAAACTTTCGCAGGGTTTTTGGTGTTCACTAAAAGTTTATAAAATATACTTTGTTAATATAACTAATAAAGTTAGATTTATATATGTTTATGATGTATCCTCAGAAGTTCTGCATGTCGTCGACGCGTTGGGTCTATTAATAATATCACAAACTATGATTTCATTGCAGTTAATCTAGTTCTGTCGGTCTGTTCATTTCAAACTAGGTCATGAAATAACAATGCACTTCATCTTTGGGTGGTTTAAAATACTTTTTCTTGTGGTAATGCAAGTTTTCCTTTTCGACATTTTTAAACAAGTGGTTTCTTGGTGCGGCTGCCACTCAATGACACAAGGCCTTAATATTAAAATAATTTGCTTTTAGTGAAGTGAAGTGAAGTGAAGTGAAGTGACATGTGGCCAAGTATGGTGACCCATACTCGGAATTAGTGCTCTGCATTTATCCCATCCAAAGTGCACACACACAGCAGTGAACACACACACACCGTGAACACACACCCGGAGCAGTGGGTTTAGACATGTTCTAGTAACCATAGTTTCCGCCAACACACCATTGTTATTACGGTTAATGTTGTTAGTTACAATTAAAGTGTGGTGACTTGGCCAAAGTATAAGCCACCGCTGTCATCGAATTATATATAGGCTAAACAATAAATTGTCACAACTGTTTGAAAAAGATCCCACATTAATTATGATTTTACAGTACTTTGAAATGCTTACAACAAAATGGTCATCAAAGGGACATGCTTAGCCATAGGTAAAAGTAGATTTTTTTATTGGCTGCTTTATTTTCTACCAATTTTCTATGATGTAGCCTACATCATTTTTGCAACCTTGTCGTTTTCGTGTTGCCAAATTTTGTGACAAACGAATTATGATAAAAATGCAAAGAAACTAAAATAATTTTACTATTAAAATTATATAGATATATAAGACACACATACAAGATACATAATTAAAAAGAGCTGCTCAAAACTGAAAAACACCACTCAGCAGTGCTGTTTCATTGTCTAATATTATTTCCATGGAAAATCACGTAGATGGGCTGCAATATCTTTAGTTGGACCTCAGCACTACTTCCAGACAATTAAAGTGCACTAGTACAAAGTTAGTTGTTCCAATTTGGCAGACTTTAAGTATAACAGTTTAGTATACTAAAAGTACAATTGCAGGGTATTTTTATTAAGCACATAAATATGTAAATATATTTGTAGTATACTTAGCACAAAATAGATGTACCATAAAATAATGAAATAGTAATTCACTAGGGTGTAGAGAATTTTAAAATACATTTGATTAAAATTTTTACAGTCACAGGCAGGCAGACAATAAAAGTGTGGGTGTTGGCTCAGTGCTTCAGTCTGGTCGTTATGAAGGCGCAGGTGCCTAGCAACTTCCTTCCCCTCCAGGAGTCTGTTGCCTAGGAGATGAGCGGAGGTCACCTGGTGAGGATCTCATTGTTTGAGAGTGCACTGCAGAAGGTTCTTTAGGGTGACTGATATTCTCTCTTTATATCACTGTCTCCATGGGAACAGAGCAGAGAGCACATACAGAGCAAATACATGCTGACAGCAGGGTGTGTTTACTCCACATGAGGGAGAAGGGGGAGATGTTTACACTCTTCTCATTGAATTTCATGGTACCACAATTATGTAAGAACTCTGCTTGTCTTACTCTTTGTCTTGTAGCCATCATCATGCAGTTTATAAGTCACAGATTTCCAGAGGATCATGACCCTACTATCGGTAAGGAAATTATTCCTTTCCGTTATGAATTTCAGTCTAATTCTTTTTCCTATCCAAGTTTAAAAGAACAGTTTGTCCAAAAATGAAAATTTACTGAAATTTAGTCACCCTCAGGACACCCAAGATGTAGATGAGTTTGTTTCTTCATGGGAACAGATCGCTTTTAACTGTTTTTAAATTCCGGCTAAAATACAAGTCCTCTATCCATAATATTTCTTTCTCCAGTGATTTTGTCTAAATCAGGGGAGAAATAAGCACAGATCAAGCACCGTTTACAAGTGAAAACAATACAAAACCGTTCTAAACAAATATGTCAGTGGATTTTGATTGTGAGAGTATAACAGGACTTTTTTCACTGGAGGAAGCATTATTATGGATTATGGACTCATATTTTGGCCAGAAGCAAAGGTTTAACATAAAAACGTCTTAATGATGGATTTGTTTCTTACAAACACGCAGCTTTTCTCCTCACAAGACATTAATACAGCTTTCATTTTTTTTTCATTTTTGGGTGAACTGTCCCTTTAAATAGACTTCCCTTTCTTCAACTAAATTTTAAATTCCTAATTTCTTCCTTTGATTTTGGCATGAAATAATTTAGTGCGATTGACCCTTGTGCCTGATTTCTACATGCTCTTCCAGTGGTTTTCTTTCACTGTAGCAGTTATTGTGGTCAGACAGAGGGCTGGTTTCACAGCCTTAGACGTACAGTCACAGGCAGGCAGACAATAAAAGTGTGGGTGTTGGCTCAGTGCTTCAGTCTGGTCGTTATGAAGGCGCAGGTGCCTAGCAACTTCCTTCCCCTCCAGGAGTCTGTTGCCTAGGAGATGAGCGGAGGTCACCTGGTGAGGATCTCATTGTTTGAGAGTGCACTGCAGAAGGTTCTTTAGGGTGACTGATATTCTCTCTTTATATCACTGTCTCCATGGGAACAGAGCAGAGATGGTGTGGATTACTTGTGGATTATTGTGATGTTTTTATCAGCTGTTTGGACTCTCATTCTGACGGCACCCATTCACTGCAGATCATCCATTGCTGAGCAAGTGATGTAATGCTACATTTCTCCAAATCTGTTCAGATAGATAAACAAACTCATCTACATCTTGGACGACCTGAGGGTGAGTACATTTTCAGCAAATTTTCATTTTTGGATGAACTGTTCCTTTAATGTGCAACCTGTTTGAAAACAGTGATTTTTTTGGTAGTGGCACAGAAATGATACTTTTAAGTTGATGTCTAATTTATTTTTATGATGTAATAATTTGTATAATTTATCTAATATAATAATATTATCTAATAATTATCTAATAATATTATCTTATAATTTGTCTTTATGTAAACATCTATTATGTAAATTGGTTTATTTTTTACATGCCATGCTTATTTTCTTTCTTTTAATCTATTTATAGATAATCTATTTAAATCTATTTTCATAGATTTTTCTTGAGACTGTCAGGTGTTGTGTCTGTCTGTGTCTGTACAGTATTTAAAACTGTAATATTGTGAAATATCATTACAATTTAAATTAACTGTTTTCTATTTTAATATACTTTAAAATGTAATTTATTCCTGTGAGCAAAGCTGAATTTTCAGCATCATTACTCCAGTCTTCAGTGTCACATGATCTTCGATGTAGATGAGTTTGTTTCTTCATGGGAACAGATTTGGAGAAATGTTGCATTTCATCACTTGCTCACCAGTGAATGGGTGCCGTCAGAATGAGAGTCCAAAAACATCACAATAATCCACAAGTAATCCACACCAGTCCAGTCTATCAGTTAACGTCTTGTAAAGTGAAAAGCTTCATGTTTGTAAGAAACAAATCCATTATTATGTCACTTTTAACTGTTTTTAAATTCCGGCTAAAATACAAGTCCTCTATCCATAATATTTCTTTCTCCAGTGATTTTGTCTAAATGCTGAATTTTCAGCATCATTACTCCAGTCTTCAGTGTCACATGATCTTCAGAAATCAGTATAATATGCTTATTTGCTCCTAAAGAAAGATTTCTTAATATTATCAATGTTGAAAACAGTTGTGCTGCTTCATATTTTTGTGGATACCTGGAGTTTCCTTTTCAGGATTCTTTGATGAACAGAAAGATCAGCATTTATTTGAAATAGAATTTGCAAGAATATAAATGTCTTCACTATACAATGTCTTTATTGTCATTACTTTTGATTAATTTAATGCGTCCTTAAAAAAAGCCTTTGAATAGTAGTGCATCTTCTGTGTCTTTACTAAATATACCCCTAAATGTAACACAGATGTCCCTTCCCATTTAAGGGTTTTTTGTCTGTTAAGCTGTTTAATGTTGTTGCGATCTCTCATCAACCTTCATGCGTGTGTTTTTCTGTTCTTAGAGGATGCCTATAAAACACAGATCCGCATTGACGATGAGCCAGCAAACCTGGACATCTTGGACACAGCAGGACAGGTAGGCGGGAGAGGTGGTGTGATTAAAGAAGGACACATGGAAAACAAGACCAGAATCAGACCAACTGTGAAGTGCAAAACCTGTCTGTGGTAAACTGTGGTGCTCAACTTAACACTTTATTTTGCAGACTATAAGAAGGTCATTCTCCTTCAACCAAATGTGTCTCACTTCCCTTTTCCTGTCTCTGTCTTTGCGGTTGTCACTTCACAAGACACACAAACACACATCAGGCACGATGTTTCTTTCTCTTAATCAGCATCTTTTTCGTCATTGGATCACTCAGCATTGTTATAAAATACATTAGTCATCTTATCACGAGTTGTATGTAATGTTTAAGGTTCATTTGGGAACATTGTTGAAACATTCAAGTAGTGTTTCATAATGCATCTGTGGTATAATGTTGATTACGACGTAAACATTTTGACCAATCAACCAATCTAAACTGATCTCTTGGTTTTTTTAAAACAAACAAAAATCTGGTTTACAGGAATGCATTATGGTGCCAGAAATATAGCCACAAGACCTATACTCGATTGTATTTGAACAGGAGACTAATGTGGTAAAATTGCTTATTAACATTGTGTAAAGTTATATCCAATTAGGGCTGGGCAATATGGCCAAAAATATTATCACAATATTTTTTTCCATATCATATGATTTATCGCAATATTCATCTGTTAACTGTTAATGGGGAAGGAAATACTTTCCACGTGTTTGTTAGACGTAAAACAAAAAGGTGTCTAAAGAAATGAATTAATTAACTTGAACTGTTTGATCATTTTTAAAAAATGTAATCAAATGAAATTTATTCACAACATAACATTGCATTTTTATTGTCAAGCGTGCTGCACAACAGAACTGTATAAATGAATGAAAAAATACCTTGGTTGTATGATATTCCTTAAATTTGTAATATTTTTATTACTTTGAGATATTATTCTTTCTTAGTAGGCTATACAGTAGTAATCAGTGGTGGAAATGGCCAAAATTCACTGCAATTATAAAACCCTTTATAATCTATAATAACTAGGGATGTAACGATTAACTGCGAGCCGCTTGAAAATCGATTCAAATATGTGACGATTCAAATCGGTTGAGATGCTAAACAAATCGCGATTCAGTTAGGGTAGGAGTTTATATGAATGTATGTAAAATAGCAATAATTTACAAGTGCTGTATTAGTATATTATTATAGTGTTATATTTCAGTTTCACAAAGAAACATACAGTATTTTGTCCGAGCAATAATAAAAGGACACATTTAATTTATAATTTGTCTTAAATCTCATTTTGTAAAAAAATAATAATTGTGAATCGAATCGTGAAATCAAAATCGTGAATCGAATCAAATCAGTTAAGTGAATCGTTACATCCCTAATAATAACATTAAACTTTTCATATTTTCACTAAAACTTCTTGGATATCAAGACAGGCACCCTGCAATTCTGTCCAAATTAAAGATACATTGTGTTTAATACTACTACTAATAATAATAATAAAATGAAAGAATGATTTAGTAAAAAATGAGAATGATTAGTAATTGTCTCCAATTGGCCTGATTAGCTAAGCCCTCCATAAAAACACTTCTTATTAGTACAGTATTGCATGATTTGTAGATTATATTTAATAATTTACACTTTGCATAAACATTTGCAATTAGTTTGTAAAAGGTGACATTACATTCTTCAGGACTTTACGCTTATATTTCTTTTTAGGAGCGCTAGTGCTCTTAACACAGTCAAAAATTTAGGAGCTCCTTCTGATCAATGACAGAAATGAACCTTCCCATTATGAGGCGATATTTGACTCCTTAAAGTGATTTACAGGGGCTTTTTTTACCTTTGTAATTCCATTTTTTTGAAACTTTTTCACAATTTTTAATTAAACAATAAATTCAATTAAAATAATAAGACACAACCAGGAAGAATAAGTTACCAGTCAAATGAAATCAGTATCAACAATTCATCTTTGCAACAATTTATCTTTTTCCTTAATGCACACAAATGTGGCATTAAGGAATATTTACAGACTGGTTAACGAGGCTCAGAGGTGGCATGAATGCATTTAAATAAAAAAAAATCTTATTTTTTTAAATTATAAACTGCGGTACGTTTATGTACAGATTGCGTTCGTAGGTCTTTGCTTTGAGTTTCAGTGTGTGTTTGACGGTAGTTTTTTCTCAAATGAAACTGTGTAAAGCTGGTGAAGTGACTCAGAGATTGAAGTTCATGTGTTCATGTCCTCATATATTGAGATGCAGACTTTGAAAACATTGAGCGTCTCATGAGTTTGAGTTTGTGTATCAGACGAATCCACGCCATTCATTCACACAGAGACACACAGAACATGCAGATTTATTAGAGACATGCACTGACTGGCTGTTGTCACTTTTATTTCTGCTGTGTGATAGACTGAGCTTCTCATAATCGACATAAAAAAATAGTGTTTTATTGCCCAGCCCTAATCTTTCTGCTCCTGTCATGACCTTGGAAATCTGATAAATCCTGTAATTTTGCATGATTATATGTACAAAGATACAAGACAGTGAGTTTGTAAAGAAGATCTCTTTGTTTGAAACCAGGCGGAGTTCACAGCCATGCGTGATCAGTACATGCGAGCGGGTGAAGGTTTCATCATCTCATACTCCATCACGGACCGCCGCAGTTTCCAGGAGGCTCGCCACTTCAAGCAGCTGATCTACCGCGTGCGGCGCACCGTCGACACCCCCGTCGTGCTGGTGGGAAACAAGTCTGATCTGGTCCATCTCAGACAGGTGAGACGCTTTACCTGAAACCCCTGAACCTCAGAAATATTCACCCCCTTCTGACTCTATTGCATAATATTGCGTAACGTTATTGAACTATGATGCATCCCATTCAAAATACTCCGTTCAGACCCTGATTAGCTTGTTCAGGTGTGTTTGATTAGGGTTGAAGCAAAACTCTGCAGGGCTGCGGCTCTCCAGGACCGACGTTCGCCACCTCTCCTATAGTCTATAATGTGACATTTTAGCAGTTATATACCACTGTGATGACTTATTTTTATAGGCCAACCTTTAAGTTAACATCACCCTGATTCCCTCGACAAAAACCTAATGGGATTTTGGATTATTGCGGAAAATAAGCTCTGTGACCCACAAAAGTTTGAAGCCTGTTTGAATTTTCAAGCATAAACGCAGTAAAAAGCTAAATGTAGGCTGTAAATGAACTACAGCATGGTCACATGACTTAAAGACTGGGACATCCTTCAAAAAATCATGTATACAGCCAATGATAACCTTTGCAAGTTTATCTTTTTTTAAAAGATAAATTCACGAGTTTATCTGTTCAGTGTCCACAACAACCAATGTAGTCTCATTTATACACTTGTTATCAACCAACTTTTTCAAGACAAGTAAAAGCTTTACTTTACTGATGTATTTTATGTCATGGAATAAAACATACAAATGTCTTGAGCTTGTGTGAACTACAGACCTTATTTCAGGCATTTAACCAAAAACCCATTCATAAAACCTAATGACTTCTAGACAGTGGAGCCAGAAGTGCTAAAATGCAACTTGTTGCTAGGTTTTGACCTACAAAGATACACCATCCCTGCAGCACTTTATAGCATTGGTGCATATTTGTTGGTGGTTCATGGTCTGGATTTTGACAAGGACTACAACCTGTTTGGTTTTAAGTAATTTTTCAAAGTCATTGCCCTGAAGGTCTTTTTTTCTGTTCTAAGCTCCAACCATTTTCCTTCTCTCTTTATGATGTCTCCGTTCCCTGCCACAGGGACGAATCCCTAATGCACAGTGCTGCCACCTCCATGCTTCACTGTAGGGCTGATGTCTCATTGTGATGTCTCACAGTTTAGCGTTGTGCCGTCTGAGAAGAACAGACTCTTCCTGGTCTTCACATGCCTTTGGGCAAACGCTAGTCAAGATAGCACGAGCTCCTCAATCTTTAGTACCATCCAGACAGTTTCTCTCATCTGTAACTTCTACAGAGTCGCCGTAGGTGATCTTGCAAATGTTATCATTGGCTGTATACATGATTTTGAAGGTCTGTTCACATTCAAAGTTGTGCTGCATTTCTTTAGCGATAGGCTGCACTGTGTGTGCATTTGGAGATCTGAAGTGTCTTGAAAATATGTGTACATTTTTAATGTACCTTGTTCTAGATAGTGGTTGTGTGAAATTAACATTAACGTAGATTAATAAATGCTGTGATAGTATTTTTGTTGTTAATTCATAATTCCTAATGTAATAATTAATGTTAACAAATTAAATCTTACTGTAATGTGTTACCGTGATGCTGTTAGTTACTACATTTATTAGTAATTTAGGTCCATCAAAAGGCTATAATTATTGATGCATTAATTGCATTAATTTGCAATGATGCATTAATTTGATCAAAAGTGACAAAGACATTTATAAGGTTGCAGAATATTTCTTTCTACAATGGTTCTCAAAAACTATTGCGCATCACAACTGTTTTCAGCATTGATAATAATCAGAAAAGTTTGTTGAGAGAATAATAAATGTGCAAATAAATGACCCACTATTTGTGCACATCTAATCATTATCTAATGTTGGAGACGTACTAGTCACAAGCGAAATGAAGCCGCTTAGACTGAAGGGCTGTTTGTTTCGTCTTCACACATTCAGGTGTCTGTGGAGGAGGGCAAACAGCTGGCGAGGGAGTTCCAGTGCCCCTTTTTTGAGACCTCCGCGGCGTTCCGCTATTACATCGACGATGTGTTTGCTGCACTGGTGCGTCAGATCCGCCAGCACGAGGCCGAGATGGTGCGGGGCGGCGAGAGGAAAACCCGGCGCAGCCACTCCTTCTGGAGCCGCCTTAAAGCCCCCTTCCATAAGAAACAGCAGTCCGAGCACTGAGAAGAAGGGCATGTTGGGATACCGTGGCCTTCTCACCTGCAGCTGTGTTAGTCCCATCTCCCTCAGATGGTTTGAGAACTGCATTTATAGTTTCTGTCTTGATTGTTTGCAATGATGCACTCCCAATCATTTCAGTTAGACCGAACCCTCACTGTGCAGGACACACTCACTGTCGTCATTTGGGACGTGGACTGATTTACTGATGTTAGAGATTATGAAAGAAATATTAAACTTGACAGTAGTTATTATGTTTCATTTTTGGACAGCATTATACTTTGTGAAGGTGAATGTCGGGGGGAATGTTGTACCTCATATTTTAACGGATGGGAATGTAAGAAGGACGTGCTACATGTGTTTTTTTGAAAAGGTCACGTCAGACACGGGTCAGAGGTTTGCTTGTTGGAAAAAAACGAAGGTCGAATGAGTTTAAGAGAGCAGACAGCATGGGGTGCAGAGTGGAGAGAAAGAAAAGAAAGCCACGTGTTGCAGGGTGAGTAAATAGGCAAGGGTTTATGGTAGAAATATTAATCTGCCGGTATAATGAGTACTGTAAACCAATTTGTTAGACACATTTTAAAAAACCCTTGCTGTAGTTGCTTTAGCTTCTTCTCAAAAACTGGGTGAATAACATGTCCAGGTCACATTTCACCCATTTTTTAATATATATATTTTTTTAAATAAATAATTAATAAGATGGGATGCATTGCAAAATATTTTCATTATAACTGGAAGCACATTTTCCCCTCAAATTCTCTTAAAATTAGTGGAATGTTTTACTTTTGAGTTTTCATTATTCACGAATTTTCATTAGATCATCGTAACTGTAATACAGTAATATTTTTACCATTTAAATAATATATATTTTTCATTAATCAGTAATGAGAGTTTTTTTATGGTAATGCAAATTTAACAGTGGGGTTGCTTTATTGTCATGAAAATAATGCAAAACAATGCTCCTAAAAATGCACTCTTCTTAAATCAAAATAGAATTTATTTTATAATAGAATTGATAATATTTTGACCTGAAGTATGACTTGGACAAGTGAGATTCAATCAACTAGAATGTGTTTGATGGAAAATACACTGTATGAATGATTATTATTATTATTATTATTTTTTTTTTAATCTTGCTGAGCAATATTCGGGTCCACCTTTAAGCACATTTAACAGACTGACCAACTTGATTATGATGGAAAACAAAATAGTTTCCTTTTTACACAGGGTCATTTTTATTCCAGTGGTTTCTGTAGTCGGTGTGTAGGAAGTGAAAGACCTTAATGTGGCGTATGATGTGGATTTCCTCTCTTACACATGCTGTGCACTTACTACGCATCAACTTTGAATAGTATGTCTGTTCGTTTGGGCATTTCATGCAAATTCATGGCATTGTTTTTCTTGTGATTATTAGATTTTTTATTTTTAAGCAGAATGGGTTTACTATATTATCCTTTATTTATTGTCATCAGAGATTCTCAAATAAAATCCACTTTACCAATCTATAACAGTCTGATTTTTATTATTATTAGCCTGATGATTTATTGTAGCTGGAGTTATTATCAGTAATATTAAATATATTAGTAATATTAAATTTATACCTTTTAATTTATTGGCGACCCCTGGTGGTTGTTTTTATTGTTAGTCGCCAGAAACCATCAGTAAATTCATTGAACTTTTGTTGTCGTTACATTTTAAAGTTATATAGTCTCTTACAAAACAAACTGACAATATTCGGTTATTTTTGTGCATTCTCATTACAAATGAAACACATCAGTCAAAACGTGATTCACTGTTATACAAAGACAAAGTTTATTCAAACGCGAACACGCGGGCGTGTCCCTCTTCGGATGCCGTACGCGGATTAAAGTGTCAGAGCGACAATTTTATTTTTAAGCAGAATGGGTTTACTATATTTTCCTTTATTTATTGTCATCAGAGATTCTCAAATAAAATCCACTTTACCAATCTATAACAGTCTGATTTTTATTATTATTAGCCTGATGATTTATTGTAGCTGGAGTTATTATCAGTAATATTAAATATATTAGTAATATTAAATTTATACCTTTTAATTTATTGGCGACCCCTGGTGGTTGTTTTTATTGTTAGTCGCCAGAAACCATCAGTAAATTCATTGAACTTTTGTTGTCGTTACATTTTAAAGTTATATAGTCTCTTACAAAACAAACTGACAATATTCGGTTATTTTTGTGCATTCTCATTACAAATGAAACACATCAGTCAAAACGTGATTCACTGTTATACAAAGACAAAGTTTATTCAAACGCGAACACGCGGGCGTGTCCCTCTTCGGATGCCGTACGCGGATTAAAGTGTCAGAGCGACAAAAACATCAAGTGCAACAGAGCAAGTATGCCACATAATTCCAGCACCAGACTACAGACAGAAGTGCGTATTCTCTGACAACATAAAGGACCTTCACGGTGAGCTTGTTTAACGTGTGTCTGGCCGTGAATCTGAGCGAAGAGGCGCATAAAGGACGCACAGGCCCGGAGAGTGTGTGATGATGGAGTCGTGGGTGAGATTCAGCGCGCAGAGTCAAGCCAAAGAGCGCGTGTTCAGGTAAACAAACACTCGCTCAGTGCAGTGCATGCTCACTAGTTAGTTTCCGTGACAGCAGGAGGTTTGCAGCCTATCTAGAGACTCGCGAGTGCTGCATTGGAAGTTGTGCTCATTGATACCGTTTTTGTTTTCAGCTACTTTACAATTAGTAGTATTAAGTACAGTATCAATCACGTTTTAGGCCATAGTTAGTATTTATTAAAGTGCCTCTGAGTACCATGTGAATATTGTTTATGGATATGAAATCCAGTCAGTACCATGTCAAAATTAACACCTTAAATACTTCAATATGTGTAATCATATTATAAGGGATTATCTAGTTATTAAAGCAACGTTTACTGGGAAAGAACCAGCATATGTTTAAGTAACCAGGCATTTGAGCGCTGATGCCATGATATAGTGTGTTTTTGTGAGTTGATGCATGCAACAATTTCTCAATATTACTGTTTTTTCTGTATTTCTGATCAAGTAAATGTTGCCTTGATGAGCAGAAGAGACTTCTTTATAAAACATTATAAATCGTACTGATCCCAAACTTTTGAATGGCTGTGTAAGTGTTCTGATGCTTATTGGAGCCGTGTAATGTGAATGCTGATTTTCATTCATTGATTGTGTTTGAGCAGGGCTGCCCAGTACGCCTGCACACTGCTGGGTTACACGCTGCAGAAGGGAGGAGCGAGAGCAGAGCTGCTGAACACCATCAAACAGCTGGAAGCTCACACGAGCCTGACCAGAAAATGTACGTTTACGATCTCCTGCTGAAGTCAGTGGTCAGGAGAATCAGGGTTGGGCACTACAAACTCCCTTTTGATTTATGCGTTACAATTTGAATTAACAGGATGCTGAACTGGGAATGGCAGGAGAGTGATTTACTGAATTGCAATTTAAAGCAGAGCAATCGTACATTTTCAGAAGAGAAAGTCCAACGCAGGTTTTGCAGAAAAATATAAGTAGTAATATAATTAAACCTCAGAGACGGAGCGTAGCAGAATTGCAACATATGCACACAGCAGTTAAACAATACTTGCTTTTCACTGAAAATGGGTAAAAATTCTGCATAGCAGCAGCTGACACTTTGACATTTATTTTTTATATTATAAGTTCCAATGGGAAAAAATTGCATTATATTTTTGCATTTTACAGTGGTTAAATTTTTAAAAAAAATTCTATTGCTCATTGTTTTAAAAAAGGTTATAAAAAATGTCAATAATTATCGATTCCGAACGATATGAAACATCATTTCGTTGATAAATTCTGGCGGTAGCACTTTTAGCTGTAGCTTAGCATAGATCATTGAATCTGATTAGACCGTTAGCATCTCGCTCAAAAATGACCAAAGAGTTTCTATATTTTTCTTATTCAAAACTTGACTCTTCTGTAGTTACATCGTGTACTAAGTCCGACAGAAAATGATATTTCGCAGCGCCTGAAAATAGGCTAACTTCCGTCAACATAAACAACGTTACCACCTGCTTGCACAGGGAGTGTGCTGGGGGCTATTTCCAGGCGCTGCGTAATATCATTGCGCCTGCTGCACCCATGGTACGGCAGCAAAGTTCCTTGATTATTACGCCGGAATGAGAGTATAGTTCCTAGCCATATCGGCCAAACTCTTTGGTCATTTTTGAGCGAGATGCTAACGGTCTAATCAGATTCAATGATCTATGCTAAGCTACAGCTAAAAGTGCTACCGCCAGACCCGGAGATCGGCTGAATGGATTCGAAAACGGTAAAACTCAACTGTTTAACTCCAGGGGAGTTGGAAAATTAGCCTATTTTGTTTTGTGAAAGACTGTTCCTTTAACCTTTGAACATTAAAAAACATTAATAAAATTTGAGAGTATTTTTAAAGAACGCAACACTGGACTATTGTTCTCACAGTGAAGCTAATTCAATGAATGCTACAAACATCATTCCAGTTTTTTTCAGCTTTTTCACCAGTATTTTCTTATTTATATGACAACATGTGTTTTAATTAAGTGGTATTAAAATGAATGCATTAATCTTACAATATGCTTTGATATGAATATTTATTGCAGTCTTTATACTCTACTGAAATTTCTAATCTTTTCATGGCTCTATCATGTGTCCTTACTGGCAGTTTCCCCCATATTATACCCCAATGCAAGTTTTGCCTAAAGGAACTTTTTTTTAATTTTTATAACTAATGGTTCCTAAATGCATGTTATAAAATATCATGACAGTAACATAGCAAATACATAGCTTGAGTCTCTGAGGGTTAATTTAGACTGATTGTACCTCTTATTACTAATATTAATTAGTGACGTGGTTCCATTAAGTGACTCCTGATGCCTAATCTCTTTACAGTCCCAGGATGTGTTTATGTTGATTGATTGATTGAGTCTGCCTGCCTGTGTGTTTTGTGTCAGTGATGCGGTTGGGGAACTCGGCTGAGGCTCTGGAAGCAGCCAAACGCACCATGCATCTGTCAGACTGTGTGCTGCGGCTCTGCATCACTGTGGCCCATTTGAACAGAGCCATGTATTTTGCCTGTGATAACGTACTGTGGGCCGGCAAAACGGGACTGCTGCCTGAACTGGACCAAAACAAATGGAGCCAGAGGTCGTTTAGGTGAGTTCTAGATTCATTTGTTTTCTTCGCAGAAGTCAACAGATTTTACTAATAGACTTACCAAGCTTTGTGTAAAAATAACATCATAATGCTGCCATCTTCCTGAAGTCGTTATTATTTTATCTGTAATTCGGCTCTGAATCTCAGGTGAAAATGATCATTTTGACTCTCCTCTACAAAATGGTGGATTACTCCGTAAATACACATCTTTGACATTTAATATTTTGGCTAATATATATATATATATATATATATATATATATATATTAGCCAAAATATTAAATGTCAAAGATATCAAAATGATTTACTAACAATATATGGAGATGGTTGCATTTATTTGTAATATTTTGAGCACAGCATGCAATTCACAATTTAATAACCCGACTTTCTCTCACTTCCTGTAAACAGATACTACTTGTTCGCACTCATCCTCAATCTAACGCGAGACGCGTATGAAATCCGTCTGCTAATGGAGAGAGAGTCCCGCAGCAGTTCAGCTAAAAGCTTTACCTCCAGTCCGTCTCCCCTCACGCCGAGCCCAGAGAACGGAGGAGAGTTCCCTCTGACCCCGTCGCCCTCCTCAGCG